AAAGCCAGATATCTGTTTTGCAACTAAAATTATCGCTTATCTTTTCCATCGTCCCGAAGATCGTTTCCAGAAAGCACATAATCCATGTTGCCCTGTATTTCTTGCATAGCTGGAAGAAGCGGGACGGGCGAGTTATTTGGGACGCTCTTAAGGAATATTTTCTTGATACCCTGCTTGGGTAAAGCCCTCCTCACAGGGCAGGAGGTTTTTTCGCAGTGGGCAATTATCTTGGGTAGTAGTTTTTAGATCAATCAGCAGATAACCAAAAAGTCTTTTTACGGCCTCTTCGTACTGATTTAAAAAGAAATAAGTTTGCCCGGGATACATTTGCTTGGCCAGAGTCAAGTTTTGCAATTTGTCTCGTGGATTCTTGAATAGCAGCAAATAATGACCGTTTAGGCTTATGCTGCGACTTCCCTTCCCCTGATCTCGATGAGATTTCGATGATGAGAACCACGAGTAAAGAGGTTCACAATTCTCTTGTCTTTACTGGCGTCAATCATCTGATCATCAAACACGATCAGATTCTGTTTGTTCACATCAAAATAGGAATCCTGCTCCAAAGCCGTAGGAATTCCCTTGATAAATTCAATGTGTGGCATGGCGAATAGCATTTCTGTATACGCAGGCTGCCATTGTAAATAACACCAGACGATCCTCTCTGGGGGAAGGTAAATTGCCTTTGAAGCTTGATGTAATAGAGATAGAACCCAGGCTGCTTTTCCGGACTTGGTCATTCCAGCAGTCATGGAGGTGAAAGGATGTTCAAAGCGAAACCGCTGACATTTCTTTGAAGACATCGGAACTGTTTGAAATGGGGTGAGATTAGCATTGCGGTGTTTAGACATCGCGTGCCTTTGAATGCTATCCTTTCTACTAAACGATTTTTCGCAAACGGAACACAACCAACTCATGTCAACTCCTCAGGAGCAGAATGTAGACTGAGAAAGAGGTAGAATGTTGCTCGTTTATATAGGTTTGGCAAACCATGAAACTACATTTCTATTGTTTTCCTCCACCACCACCACCACATTTATATTGTTAAGTTATTAATTGTTTTTGTGTGTGTGTGTTTTTTATAATAGTATGTCAAGGTTCTCTCTTTGGGTTTTTACTGCATAGCTGAGCCAATTTGTATGCAAATGTCGGCTTGTTAACTCGCATAATTAACTGACTAACAGCGCGTTAAAATGACAAGACCATAAGCTCACCAAGCGCTGAGAGTTAGTCGTCTCCTCGAGATAGAATACCTGAATTTTGTCCTGGAGTTTTGTTTATATCCTATTTTTAGTCATGATAATTTAAAGAAATGATTAAAGATTTTTCAGTTACACTTTGTAACGATAGCGTGTTCAACAACTGAGCGCTTTCATTTTGAACGCATAATAGTTTCTACACGGACCAATCATCAGGGTTAAAAGAGACCTGGCAATTCTAGGCAAGTCTATTGTTCTTATTGTATAAGAGAGACGCTCATTAGATATGGAGGAAGACACTTGGAGGAAACCGCTTTTTTCCTACGTTAAAACAATGGGTGACGTCATGGACTCGACCCTTACGCATATCAATGATTTACCTCAACCTTACTCGACACCAAAGGGGTTTTAATTTCGTCCCTCTATCACTACTGTGCTGGTGATGACAAGGGAAAAGAAGGTAAGGTTTGAGGGTATAACTCTTTTGTATGAGCGGATAATGGGAGAATTCGGTGAAAGAAGGTAAAAATATTTGGGGATTATTGAGGCGGATTTAATAATCGAAAAGGAGATGAAAAAAATTCAAGAGAGTAAAAAAGAAGGCTGAAACTAATGTTGAAATCAAGATTGAATTGAAAGAATAAGGTTATAGCGATTAACACCTGCGCAGCTGTCAGTGCTGACCAAGTATGGAGCAGGTAAGATGGCAAACGAAGAACTGAAAACATTGGATAAAATGACTAGAAAGGTGTTGACAATGAATGGTGCTTTCCATTCAAAAAGAGATGTTGATAGGTTTTATGGAGCAAGGGAGGATGGAGGTCGGGCCGACTAATAAGCTGTGAGGGGTGTGTGAGAGGTGAGTAAAACAGTTTTGGGTGGTGTGTGAAGAATTCTTGGGACGTTTTACTGGAAGGGGTAAGGGGTAAGGTGTATTGAAAGTGAGGAAATTGTCAGTTAAGTTGATTGAAGACATCTTGGAACAATGAGCTGAAACTCGACAGTTGGAAGGAAAAAAAGCTGCATGGTCAATTTCATGAGAAATACACGGAACAACACATGAAAGAAAACTTGGAGCTGGTTACGAAAAGCAGACTCGAAGATCAAAACAGAAGCACTTATTTGTGCAGGCAAGGAACAGGCTCTCAGGACCAACCATGTAACTGATACCATGTCGACAATACCGCGCGAATCCACCTTATGTAGGTAATGTGGCGAGAAGGCGAGAGTGTAAACCATATTGTCTGTAGGTGTAACTGAAAAGTTAGCCCAAAGGGAATATAAACAGAGACATGACAATATTGCAAAAGTAGTTCGTTGGAAGTTATGTGAGAAATATCATCTGGGTACGAACACGTGTCTGACAGTGCCAAGTAAAAACGATGAAGTTAAACTACTGTGGGATAATGAACATCCAATGTGATCATGTCATCGATGCTACAATAAACATGATCATTTGGTTGTAAACAAACAGGAGAGAGAGTGCGCCTTTGTCGATATTGCTATAGCAGGGGATAAGAGAATTGTTGAAAAGGAGAATGAGAAGGATATAAAATATCAGGAGCTTAAAAGAGAAATTGCAAGGATATGGAACATGAGAACTGTGCAGGAGATACAGATTGTTGTATTATCATTGGGCCGTGAGTGTGACAAAGAACTTGGATAAGTGGCTAGAAAAGTTGGACATTAGAATTAGTATTTCATTAATCTAAAAACCTACACTACTAGGAACAGCAAGGATTTTAAGGAAAGTATTAGAGTTCTAGAGTAAGGAGGTGAAATCCAAGGGGACTTTGGTCAGGGATTATGACTCGCTCCCTTAGCAGGTAAATCGGTATGAGATCAGCCAGTGTACAAAGAAAGAAATGATTATAATAATAATAACAATAATAATAATAATAATAGTAATTTTAATGATAGTTATAATACTTATATTGTTAATAATGGAAATAGGTCTGAGTGGAGTCAGGAGACCACATAGCTGGAGTCCGATTTGTATAAATTAATCGTAACTGTAACAAAATTTGTGATAATTTCAGATTTTATGAAACTAAAACACAAAATCTTGTAAGAGTTTAATGCAGCTAGAAGAAAAATATAAATAACAACAACGAAAGCCAAAAAAACCTCGAAGAGTGATTATTGTACCATTACTTATGAATATATGACTGGTCCTGCCTCCGGGCACTGTATCCCATTACAGTGTTATTTTCATAATTAGAACAGCGCTAGCATTTAGTAGTGGTAATAGGCTACTTGCACTAAGAGGTCACGTGATCACTGCTTCCTTTAAACAATGAGTTGGAATCTTGCTGATGCCAAAAATTGACAGAGCACATAAAAATTATCTTACACCCGAAATTTGAGAGAAAACGCATTTAAGGGAGATATTTTATGGCACTTTGATTTTTCAACAAAGTAGTATGATTTGTATTGGCCGCCATGTTGGAGGGCATACTCTTGCCCTCCAACATGGCACTTTTTGCTTATATCTTGTTAAACTTGTGATAGTTACGCTCAGATGTGCTGTAAACGCTACCACATCATCTTTTCAACATTTTCCTTGAAGTTTAAGCACAAAATTTGTGTTCAGAAAGAGGTAATTCATAATTTTAAAAATCACGTTTTGGTCACGTGACCAGCTACGAACTTACTCATTTTAAGAAAATGGTGCTGGTTTGAAAAACCAAATAACTATTATTTTGTTTAAGATATGACGCCCTAATCGTTTTTCGAAGGCAAAATCATATAACTTTTGTTTTCATAAAAACGATGTCACATGACCTCTTAGTGCAAATGGCCTATAGGACTCAGATTAGAATCAATTCCTTCTGTAATCATCGCAGTCATAGAGAAAACTGTTTCTCAATAGTCCTTTTGTGGTCGAAAATACTATATATAGAAAAAAAGACAAGCTAAATAGTAGAACCTCCTGTTTTTCAGACGTTAACGAGTGTGCAACAGAAAAACACAACTGTGACAACAGCTCCAAATGCCATAACACCAAAGGATCCTTCCTATGTATCTGCAAGGGACCAGAATATATCGGCGTTAATTGCACCGGTAAATATAATGTGCATTGAGATTGTAGATTCCTCTGATAAAAGTGTCCGCTGTGTAATTGGGGTCTATCAAATGGTGAAATCATGTTCATTATTGTCATCATTGGTATCGCGTTTATTTCCCCTTTTTCGTTGATAGCTATTTTAGAGAAGAAAAAAATCAAACCAGAAAGTTTTGTTGACGTCCTTTGGTTTCAATTTGATAAAAGCACATGAAGATTTGACATGATCTTTAAGGTCAAGTAATACGGGCAACATTTTCTCTTAACTTGTTGCGCAACATTGTTGTATTCCACGTTCAAAAGCGTTTTTGCCCTTCGAGTTTAAGAGTGCAAATTAACGGTGCAACTTTGTCTAAAATTAATCTGCCCGGTATTTTGGGCCATGGCTGTTTGTACGTTTGATTTTATGTTAAAATTAGTATTTATTATCTTAGTAGCTTTTAATACTGGTCTTATTTCAGTGGCTGAACATCGAGATAGTATGTCTTTAAACTTAGAGGTTGCCAGAACAAACGATTCACGTGACTAAGTAAAAAAGCACCCCAAGCACCCCATCCCCTCAATGGAGCTTTGCGGTCTCTGGGTTAAGGGAAGAAGCTGACGTTAAGACCGATAAGAAGTTTTTAGTCAGACCTTCTTGTTCCATCTTAAGACATCTTAGAACATGTAAAACACTAGAAACCACTTCTTTTTGCAATCGTTGAAGCTCTTATTTTACTCTCCTCTTATTTTTAGCATTCATGGACTCAAACATATTGAAAACAAATTCTTCTTACTTCCACCATCTGGGAAAATTTCTGGACCCAGCGGTTGGGAACAATTCTTACTGGGTACTGTGCTGGCGGGCTACATTGCACGGCTGGAATGTCCGTACACAGTTTCACAAACGCTGCGATGGAAAAAGAGACACAGTTACCATTATAAAAAAGGGTAAATACGTTTTTGGAGGTTACACGGACATTCCATGGGGTAAGAATATTGCTTGCTCAGTTCAAAAGCAAATAGCAATAAAACGTAAAGTTGAGTCAAACCAGTCTTCTTAACTATTTTTACTGCTGTAAGAACTAGGGAGGCTGGTTGTTACGTATTAACGATTCTGTAAAATTGCGGATATGTTGAATATCTATCCTCCCGGTTCCTGGCGAGAAAATACATGGACCATAGTATTAACTCAATAGTATGTCTTCTACACAGGCTACCAAACTGTAACACCCACGGGCATTTTTGTCTGATTTTTGGCAACATGGCTATTCTTACTAACTCGAGTAAGCTGATTTCGATAATTACTCTTGCCAAGCTCAAGCTTGTGTTAAGGTGGAGTTTTGAGGCATTTCCTTATGACTTCACTGTACAAATAAGGAGTTTTCTTTCCTTCCCCAATTTTAAGGTGAATAGATCCAGAAATGGTTTCAAAGGACTCTACGTACATTTGAGTGACCATTTAGAGAATTTATGCAACGCTGTTTCTGCGAATTTCGAGGCGTCACATGACAACTGACCACACCCTTTGATATAAAATTCGCACACTTATGGCTAAAGATGTAATATTTATCGTGATAATTTCATTAAGATAATTAAATTTAATAGATCCAGAAATTGTTTCAAAGAGTTCTACATATATTTAAAAGACCATTTAGAGAATTTATAAAACGCTGTTTCTGAGAATTTCGAGGCGTCACATGACGCACTTTTAATATAAAATTCACACAAGTATGGCTAAAGATGTGGTATTTATCGTGACAATTTTTTTAAGATAGTATTTTAAAACACTATAGATAGTATAGTAGATAGTACATGAAAATAAGCCATTCTTTGATTGCTCGAGCTCTTGGCAGTTATTGCAAAACATTCACATTCCTGCATTAATTTTCATGTCACTAAATAAGTTTCAAGACCAAGGCAACTTCGAAATTCGAGTAAGTTCAAATAGTTTAGGATAGCCAGACTGCTTAATAAGATGTAGGTGCATGGAGAAATCTAAAAAGATAAGGAGCTGCAGCGATTCTCTCAGTACAGACGCTGAGGAGTGGCTTTCCACAAGGACCGACGAGAGATGTGCAAAGCTGCTAGAAGCGCAAAGGCACGGAAAAGTGTTTGTGATGAACAAAATAAAGAGACAATAAAAAGACAAAACATAAGAGATGTAACCACTCCTAGGGCTTTCCACAAGTTGCTCGGCAACTTTTTGGCAACTTCTCGTATTTTGAGCAACTTCTCGAGTTATCTTCTAATTCTGAGATATCGGAGCAGCTTTTAGTGCTTCAAATTGGCCTTTCTTCCATATTTCACAATGTTTAAATAAAAAATTTCTGAATTTCCTATAAAAAAAAGAAGCCAAATCCTCTCCCTGGGACAGATCATGGGCGCAGGATAAAAGTAGCCAGGCTGCTAGGTCAGCTGTTTTTAGAGAAAATTCAAAATGGTGGACGAAGATTCACACTCGACTGGCTTGTGTCTCGGGTGAACAAGGTCATTCAACATTTTTATTGGCTCATTAGACTTTCTGGTTTTTATTTAGGACAAAGTTATTTAGCAACGCTGGTTACGTCGCAAAATTGAACAAAATGCTTAGAAATCTTACTTTTGTTGTACAAGTTGCATATTTTAGCATCAGACCAAAAAAAGGTTTTTTTTTTTTGAGCAACTTTTGAGGAACTTTTGTTTGTTTTTTGAGCAACTTTTTTGAGAAATAAGGGAAACTTTTTGAAAAATCTCGAGCAGCTTGTGGAAAGCCTAACCACTCATGACTCACTTCGTCTCACAATGGCACAGAAATTTGTTATCGTGACTTCATACACAAAGTGAAAATTGAGCTTCTGAAGGAAAAGCTATATGTTAAATAGGCAACTTACGATCCGACGACGCCGACGGCAACGGGAACGCCACAAAAGCAATAGGTTTAATTAGCAAAACAACAATTCTGCACTTGAATCGCGCTTTTTTGTACATTTCTTTGCCGTCACTGCACGACTACGACGTGAAAATCTTTAATTTCACGATGTACAGAGGAAGTACACAAGCGACGTCGAAATTTCCTCTCTCTTTCTGAACTTGGATATGGTTCTTAGGAATTCAACTTTAGGAGGGTTCGCCTACATTTGACAAAGTGAGTGACTTGGAGTAATCTCGATGAAGATTGAAAGAACGCGAATTCACTTTTTTCAGCGACGTTTTACCTGCCGTCGCCGTCCTAGGGTCTTAAGGTCCCTAATAATACCCCCCTAACGCAGAAGAAAAGTATTTCTTTTGACAACGAGGCGGCCTCCACTTCATTAAAAGGGCAAGTAGCACGAAGTAGTAGGAGAAGTGTCGCACCTGTACAATGGAGTCTTTCTGTACTTTGCCAAAAATCCGAAAACACCGAGAGCTGCTCAAATCATTTACATCATTCAATGTAAGCAATTCAGTTCCAGCAATTGAATCATCTTATCTGGATATGAACTGAATTTCTGACGATTACTTGGAATTGTTTTTACTTCCTCAGTAGGGTCTGAATCGACTGGCCGCTAATACCGTCCAGTGACATCACTACTCATTTTCCTAAGTCATGCAAAAAGTAAAACACGATTTTCAACCGGCAAACAAAGAAATATCGTTTGGAAATGTCTACATGATACAGAAGTGCTTTACTCTCTTTGAATGTAATTCATATTTAACGTTTAAAATGTCAACTGCATGCAGTACTCTGAACGAAGTCTGTTGTACGTTTAATTCAATACTCAAACTCGATCGCGCTCACTCACGGAACACTTCAAAAACACAACGATTTGCTTTAAAAAAAAAAAGAAGCTATTTGGTGCTTAACGAAGAAGAAAAAAAAACAAGAAAAAAAAGTTAAACAGAATCATTACACTTGACGGTGGAAATTACAAGACTTAAACCCCAGAAATTTTCGCTTTCGAATTTTTTAACTCCACACAAACATGCCAGGCATCCGACCCGGCAATCCTGCTAAAATTTCTCATAACTATACATAATTCTGCGAATGTTTGGACAAGAATCAACCAATCAAACACTACCCGGTTTTCGGGTAGTGACGTCACACTGGACGGGATTATATTAGCGGCCTGTCGATTCAGACGTTGCTAAAAGAGTAAAAGAGGACTCGAAGTAATCGTCTGAAATTCAGGCTAATCTGGATAATACAATAACATTCCGCTTAGCTGAGGACAGCGATCTCATTGCTGCAAAAGGGCCGGGAAGGTACAAAAAGTGTCTGAGCGCTTAGTACCAGACTGGCAAAAACAAAAAGGAATCTCAACAGGCAGTTATCGTTATGATTTTATCTGCTTTGAGCTCGGCCACCATACTGCAGAGCGTAGCCAAATACTCCAGCTATCCAACGTATGGCCGGGATATAATAAGCTAGCCCAAAAAACCAATACAAACATACCGCAGTCATCTATCAACAGGAAAGCATCATGAGAAAAGTGGATACTTGTTGGAATTCTTAAGCACTAATACGGGGAATTACATCATACAAGTTATGATGTACGCTCCTAGTTACTCAACGCTGTTAGTAGATCTACTGCACAAGGAGGGCCATATACAGCTACGACAGGCAAATCCTCAATTAGGACCCCTCACTGGGGCAAGATACAGTCTGTTGTTGAAAGAGATAAATGGCACCGTTGTCCTAACTGGTTCTAAACCCGGACAACTTCCTGATGCAGTTCACTGCTAATAACATTGACATCAACCATTCGTTACTAGGTGGAAAGGACACTTTCCACGCAACACAGGTACCTGGTTGACAAAGAGGCCCAAATAAAACAAAGCATTTAGCAAGCTTGAGGCCCAAAGTGAATTGTGAAATTACTAGGATTCAACATTGCACAAGAAAAACAAAAAGTTGTATATGTATTCCTAAGTACATTACAAAAAAATAATTGCTGTCTTTACACTAGGCTGTTAAGTAAGACTTAAGAGCTGCTAAGTTTTACTTAACCAAAAATTCGTGTGTGAAGGCCTAAGTAAAATCTCAAGTAACTTTACTTTGCATTTCATTAAAGTTGGAAAGTTGAAACGATTCAAGAAAGTTTTAAGCGACTTGAAAAGCATCCTTAAAACCGACTTACTTGCGGTTTCTTGGGATGCTTACCATTTGACAGAAAAATCTGGCTGGGGTGTCGAAAGCATAATGGTAAGCGATTTACCAGTTTACCGTAGAGTTGCCACATCCGTTACGGTTTGAATCCAAAAAGGGGACGAATGCGTCTGGAACCGAGAAATTGGTAGTTGGTAAGCAACATTGCGTTTGGTTTGTACCAACTGGAATGAACGGACTACCTCAAAACGTACTCCTCAATTTTTGGTTGGAATTTCCGAAAAGTGACCTTACCATTTATCATCCATCCGGAATTTCCGAAATTTTCTGTCAAATGGTAAGCACCCTTGAGGTTTGAGAAAGGCGAAACACGTCAATCAATCGTAATTATGTTGCGTGGGAAAATAGCCTTAAGTTAACCTGAAGTAAAAAAGAATCGGTTGTGTGTGAAGCTTTATTTTACTTGAAGTAATTAAAATTTGCTGCTCTTGAAATATTTCTTAGCTTATTTAGGCTCTAGTGTAAAGACGACCAATGTGATAAATATACAAGTGATAAGGTGATTTTTCTATAAGAAGGCGTGGTCAAGGTCACGTGATGGCTGTATGTTAATATAAGCAGCGTAAAAACAATCAGAAATTCTTAGAATATAATTTTTAAAACACTAATAACGCTTTAAAAGAATTTCTGTCTCTTTTAAATTTGGAATTGTTAAAGGAAAGAAAACCCCTCATTTGGACAATGACGTCATAGGAAAAATCCCCCAAACTCCACCTTAGCACAAGATCTGAGTTTGGCAACAATGATTTTCAAAATCAGCGTACTCAAGATAGTTAGAATACCTATGTTGCCAAAATCAGACATAAATGCCTGTGGGTGTCACATTTTGGTTTCCTGTGCACCCGACCAGACTATACCCGCGCAAAAAAGTGAAAACTACCGTATTATAATAACTCACAGCAATTTTTGCGGTAAAATCCTTTATAATTACCTGACGGGATACCCGTCGAATGGAGGATATTAGATACGTCGTCTTTACCCGCGGCGTTCTTCACCATCAGTAGGCCATGTCTGATTACAGGGTTATTAATTCTTTCATTTAAGTCCAATTCTTATTTCCTCAGTGGCACTTACCAAGGTAACATGTAGATTTAGCGAGGGCCAAAAACGAAGCTCTCATTTGATCTTTTAAGTAATGCCTTTGAAGAAAGCTGTAAACCTGAGGCTTCGATACGGACAGTTGTTAGCGGATACCCTATTTTGACAAGTGGATGTCTAATATCAAGTTAATCACAAATCGAATATACCTTAGATTAACGCTTATAACAAGTGAGTGTGACATTTTACATGCGGTAATATGAAAGGGCGGACGTAAGGACGGAAGATTGTGTCACAATTAAAATTCCTTGAATGCATAGATAACCAAATTTTATTATCCATAGTGCCCGGCTGCTTTTGTTTCGCGAGCACGAGAGCCCCGCCGTTATACCTAATGTTTACCTACAATCCTTGTCACATTACGTTGGGACACCCCGTGCTGTACCCATTTCCTGACAGAAAAAATGTGCTCCTTCCCTCCCAGTGTTGTTGTTTTTTTTTGGCTCCTGTCATTCCAACTCGCAAAATCCAACATTAAGGGGGTAGAAAATACCACTACTGTCCCAGCTATTGTGACGAGTGTTGTAGGTATATCAATTCTTGTACCTTGGTAAAACGATCAAGTCAAACAAGTCGACATCATGTGTTCTTATTTACATTGGATTATTACGGGATGAAAAGAAATGCTTTATTATTTTGTTTTCATTTCATTTATTTATTTCTGCCGCTAAAATTTATAACTTCGAGGAATCCATCTCCATTGGTTATTGTGTCTAGTTACATATTTTGCTTTTGTTGTTCACACTTTTAGTTTTTTCGATCAAGTTAGTGTGTGTGAAGTTCCAGGTGGGGTACCCCCATAAATTTCGGATAGATGTTTGTCTCCGAGGGCCTGAAGTACTGACCCTATTTGAGGATGAGAGAAACGAAAACTGATACCTTATTTAAGGGCGTGTCTCCGTAAAAACCGACCCGTGATTTCGGATCAAAAAATTAATTTTCCTTGTATTCTAGGATATTAAAGTCTTTACCTAGTTAGTTACAAAAATGCATGTTGTTTGACCGGAAATGCGAAATATAATTTTTTACGAATTTTTGAATTTTCGGCCGGCTGGCACCGGCGCCATAGCCTTTGAAACTGCAAAACTTGCCTACATTGCCGGCGCTACAGAGAACAAACAACTCGTTCAAGAAGCTCGATTTTCTTTTTAATATACGAATACACGGCAAGAACCTTTTCCTTGCATGTGTTATCAGCCTGCCATCAAAACACAAAAATAGCGCAACTTTGAGGGCAGTTTAAAAAAGTGTGGCACCTGTCTGAACGTTGCTATCTGTATTAATACAAACTAGAAATGATAGTAAAACGTAAAAAGGAATAAAGTTTTTGTTTTTTTTACGTTTTCGAACATGTCCGCCGTTTGAATTTCCAGAAATTTTGAAGACCTTATAATTAACGAACACTTGCCTTGTGCTTTGCTCGTGAAAGTCAACTTCACTTGATGGCTTGATGGATTTTACCTTGGTTCTTTTTTACCTTGGTTCCCTTATCCCTAAGGAAAAGGTCTGAAAGGTTAGCCATCACATGTCAATGCAAATAAGAAATGCATTATCGTTATATCATATATCATATATCATCTCTGTATATCTGTCTTTAAAGACTATGTCCATCTTCATAACTAACTGTAAGGAATAGCAATACAATAAACAAAGGGAGGAAAATAAGAAAAAAAAGGAAAGTTGAAAAAAATGTGTGATTCCATTTCACTCATAGTTCTTATTAAATTTGTTTTGTTTTAGTTTATGATAATGCATTTAAAGTCAAGAATAAAAATAAATAAATAAATAAAATTCAAACTAAGGAAAATACACTACAGAGTAACTACACCTCAGTGTTTACTCAAAAGTTAATACTTACGTTTTGTTGGTTTGTTAGAGTCCAGTGGTGGCAATGGCTTCACTCGCAAGGCGTTTATTTTTTCAATTAGCAATAAAGAAGAACTGGATCCCTTTGTGGTTGAGGTGAGGAGGCCAGACGGGGCAATTTACAGGTCGTCAGATTATGGTCCAGTGTTTGGTATTGACATCATCATTGTTAATAATGCCAACAGTAAGAGCGACTCAATAGCACGCTTTGCCTATTACTACCCTGCTCCTGCTGCAGTGCAGGACCAGTACACAATCCTGGCCGGGACTTTCCGCTTCTCACCTGATGAGGTGGAGGTATTTTATCTTGACCCTACTCAATAAATATAAAAAGAACCATTTCATTATTTACGGCCAAAAAACATGCAGCTATATTAACATACTTACTACCTTCAAAAAAATGTACATCCCAATGTATATTTCTCGACAACGTAGAAAATCTTTCTTTCTTTCTTTTCTTGATCTTTGTTAAACACGAGACAGGAATATAGTTCTTGTTTACCTTTTTAAGTTGTTTTTTTTTTTTACGTTATTTTATTTTTAGTCGAGGAAAGTAAAACTGATAATGATTTTTGTGATTTGCGTAAATTACTATTTTACTGGAGTAATTAAGCTTTAATTTCATTATAAGTTTAATTGTTTAACCATTTTTAGATTTTAATAAACTAAGGCACATTTTTTCCCAGCCCGAGCCAGCTGTCTGGAAACAGGGAATTTCGACTGAAATTAACGCATTTATGAACCCCAATGATAACGTGAACCTGCACTGTTATAACAAAAAAACTCACGTCAGCTTAGATCAATTTAATAAAACTTTTACAACTGCTGTGAAGTATTTTAATAGTTACTTTTAAGATTTGTATTTCTTCTAAGTTTCGTTTTTCTATTACTAGGTGAGTCAAGGTTAATTTGGATTTGGTGCGCATAGGCATTTTCCTTTTTTTTATTTTGTGATTTTCAGACTTCTACTTGAAAGTTTGCTTAGCTCGCGGATTTACTATATGCCATTTTAATTAGGAATATTGTTCTCTTGCCATGGTCGGATGTTAGTTTTTCATATACGTAATCGTGTTTTTCATGTCAGAGCTGACCTTGGTTCATTCATTAGTCTCTTTGAAGTTCCTGTTTGGGTTTGTTAAAAAGCGTTTTAATTATTCATCGGTTTGTAGCTTCTTGTAAATCGCAGCCACGTATGTTCCGTAATACCAAAACATTACCTACACGGCCGCGAGTTTATCTTGTTTTTATTCCTACGGTCAGTTATCCAAACATGTCCAGCTTTGGCTATAAAAACCGCTACTACACTTGAACTACTTACTCTCCGCCGAGTAAGGATTGAGTAAAGAAGAGGAGTAAGAAGATTAAGATTAAGATTGTTAGTGAAGACCAATGTAAATCAGACTCCTGGTATCTCATGGCTATAACTAAGCGAGCGAGTTGCTCGAACACACGCCCGACTCGCAAATCCCCATGAAAATCTTTTTGCATTACAACTTAAAAACGCTCCCGTCAAATGCAAAATCTGGTTTTATTCTTTTCACTTTAGCATTCATAGAAGATTGTAGCAGGGGCACCCAACGAGAATATAGTTCAAAACCACTTAAACATAGCATTGTTAAACGTATTTTACTATTAAAACGGTAGATATAGGCAAATTTTTATCCCCTAAAAATTTTTCATCTGTTCGGATTTCCTAGCTGAAAGGCTAGTGATTCGAAAATTATAGGGATCAAAACTTACCTATTCGAAAATTTTAGCCAGAAAAAAGGCTCCCGAAAATTGGAGGTGACCTTTTTAGGGTAAAAATCCGTTAAAAATGGGCAATTATACCATTTTTTAGATGTTCGAAAATCCTAGGAGAGGCAGACAAGCAAGAAATTTTGGAAAAAAATGCTCCGAAAATTTTAGATCTCAAATCGTCTTCCGAACAGATATTTTCCGAAAATTGTCGTTGGGTGCCCCTGTTGTAGTGAAAGTCAGTCCCGGTGCATGTCTGCCGTGTTTAAGACATTGATATATACATTGACATTCTTTATTTAGACGTGCATTTAAAAATTAAACGCAAGTTTAAAAAAAAAATAGTTTTAATTAAATAATCAGTCAAAGGTCTCGACAGATCGGCCTTAGTATATTCAAGGTCGAGTTTAATAAAGTTTACTTACTTATGAGAAAGTGTCTAAGTGTTTTCTTTTCTTCTCCTTCTTCTTTGTTATCATTAAAAAACGTAAATGCTACAAGCAAGCTTGTTTTTGATTATATATGATCAATCCTCTTTGATAAGCTCGTTTAACGTTCGACTCATGATCACAACGGCAGTCAAACAATTTGTATTATTTTAAACAAAACTGTCTTAAAAGGTCTCGTCAGGGCTATCAATTTAAAAAGCAAAACCCTTTCAATTTTAGTGCGCATAATTTGAATTCCAAATATAATGGTCCCGAGATTTGTTGTTAAAAACTTCATATTTGGCCTTTTAAACTGTCTCCTGTTGTCTTTTTTGCAACGGATGACAAGGATGAACACGGACTGGCCATGGACGCTAAATAGATTTCTATCTTTATACTATTTGATCTTTTAAACGTTTTTGATGGCGTGGACCACAATATTCTCCTGCGCAAGATCTCATACCTGGGTGCTGGTTCGCAAGTTACATGTACCAGGAGCCCGTCATGTACCCATCTAACTGATCACAATTAATATCCATGTATTGATCACGCATTTTTACAATGTGGTGATGATATATTAGAGTACAGACACATGATGGATGAAGTGGAGACTTGCTTTTCTATTTTTTGTTCAACACGGACGCGATTTTGAAATTGTTTGCAGTTCGTTTGAAGCAAGTGAAAGCCTTTTAAAAATGGCTTACTAGGAGCTGTTTATAGATAAGAAAAAAAAAACAATAAACCGAGACAAGTTCTTGAACGACTTGCAAATCTAGGACAAATCCTCGAACAGTAAAGCGGTACGAGGCAACTATGTCGTTGCTTCTTCTCTGCTCATTATGTAAACTATATAGATTCCATGTAACCCTGGGTCTGTTCACTAATATCATAGAAGACGTCAAAATTTGGTTAAAACATCAGTGACACACTCGCATGCGGCTCAGTGCAGCTCAGTGCCGCATTTTTGTTTTTGCCACATTTTGAAGTCATCTGGAATTACTGAACAGGCGCACCGCGCACTGCAACATGGAATCTATTCGTTAAATAGTCATTACCCAGGTCAACTGAGCCGTGTAAGCCTGTTCCAGGCGTTCAGTTTCTGTGGACAGCACAAAAAGATGTGAAAAGAAAAACAGCGTGGGTTGAGCCGAGCAAAGGAAGGTTCCCTCCTCTCTCCACCTCTCCCTCCTTATTTTTTTTCCCAGCTGCTCTGACTTTGTGCCGCATTCCAAATTTTAAACACCTGGAACAGGCTAGAGCTAAATCGGCCGCTTCATCGATTTATAAACACCTATTCAAGGACTCCCAATCTTCAACATTGGCGCAACGCAGTATCGCTCCGTTACATAAATCGCGCCGAAATCACCGTTTTTATGTTTGAACTAGTAGTACGATTTTTGTGCCGGCGTCAAATCTATCCGCTACTTTGTAAACATAGCCTTAAGTTCCCTGTTAGCAACGCCCACAAATGCTTTAATCAATCATGCTATTTTCTATAGCAGGTTGTCAAACTTTTTTGTTAGGGTAACTCCTAAAATTCCTGACAAAACATTGTCGCTATAGTATCTGGGTAATACTCTCGCAAAAAAAATTTCCCTTACGGGTGGTGGAGGTGGGGGGCTTAATAGAGGTACAACAGTACCTTTAGAAAAACACTGACGAGCTGTTTGGCATTTTTCTTTATTCTTAGAAATACAGTTTCTTTGCGCGACCGTTTTCCAGGTGATCTTCTCTTCATTCACCATACCGCGGCATTTTAGTCATTAATTTGAAATTTTTTGTCGTCAGATTCTTGATGTCACCAGTCCCTCTATCGTTATGTTCATGGAACTTTCGGTCAAGTATTTTGACGCACAACCATAAGCCTGGCTAGTGAGCTTGATTATTAGCTGGGTTTAACACACAGTTATAGTACTGCAAGTTGCACTTCCGACAGCAATCGTAGGAGCAGAACGCTACAAATAAGGTCTCTTCTCGATTTCAAGTTGTCCAGCTTTTCTTACAGAAGATGGGGTTGTTTTCAAACCACACAAGCTTTAAAAGACGGTAATCAAATTAACATTAGACAAAAAATTAAGCATGTGCATCCTTCGGCTCAAATAGACTGATATCATTCATGAATAATTGAGAAAATGTCAGACAAAAACGCTAAATAGAAAAAGGGAAGAACGAGGTTTTACCACAAGCAAAGTGAAGCAAATGTAAAGGATGAAAGAGCCATGATTCTTGATAAATTTTTTTAGACTGCGAGCAGTCTCTTATTTTTCTTGTGAGACACAGTACATCGAGAACACGCGTTGGAGGGGGTGGGGGGTAGAGGGGAAGTGCGAAGCAGCGAGAAACAAGGGCGGAAGCCCATGTTAAGCAAAGAAAAAATAATTTATTCGCATAATTTTACTTTTTCTCTCGCCGCGCGTGGGCTCCGAGGAAAGAAGAACGACCGCTCGCGGTCTAGAATTTTTTGTAACCCTAAACTGACTTTTTCAGACAAAGATTTCTCTACCGTTGGCAGGCGAAACTTACTCGCGACTAAGTTGCGACTTTTGTCTTGCCTTACATTTTGACCTAAGAAATAACTCAACTGCTGCTTATATAGCGTTTCCTCAATAAACAACTTCGCACATCAACATATACGAAAACAAACGGCGGTAACTTACCTCTAGTTTGGTGCTGTTAACAGATGGACAATATTTTCTACAGTTGCACGATAGAACAGTTGTTGAAATGGTTGTTTGTGAAGTATTTTCTGTAGTCTGTGGTTTCGCTGGGATATCAAGCATGGCTTCTGTCTTGTCTTCAGTATTTTCCTCGAGTTTTCTTGAGCTTCGGAGGTCGCTGTTCGTTGATGGGCATTTGCTTGGGATGCTATTCTTACCATGAAGTAGAAACAAATGGAGTAACCATATACACAGAGTTAACAAAATAAATATAACCCTCAGGCCCGGGGAGGGGAGTACTTTAGGAATTTTTAGGTGGGGATGTGCCGCTGGGACTCTGGAACCCTTAGCCTACACCAGAGCTAGTTCAGCTGAATTTTGCTACCCTGTACTGGACTAAACTCTTCAAATCCCCCGCCCCTTATCCTAGATATGATGCCGATTTGATTTTTTTTTACATTTTTTAGTGGCAATTCCCGGATTCCCTAGTCTAGGCTAAAAT